AAAAATTGAAGTTACGATGATATTGAAATATAATGGAAAGTAGATCTACAATCCTCACCTTCTTATGCTTTCAGATTTTCTTCTGAATTATGAAATATATCTTTTAAAAATAACTTGAAGAGCTCTGTCCGATTTATCAAAAAAAACAGAAGAAAAAATTCTACTGAGATTTTGAAAAGTACTCGAACAAAACGTACCAAACATGACTCAATATGTCTAATCTTCTTGCTTGAGAGTACAAAAATCTCAATTGTTAGTATTAGGAGAATAAGATATCATGCAAGGAGAAAGAAGCAGACAGATTGTCACAAAAAATTATCCTCAGAGAAAACCTAATAGAAACTAATTTTTGGCATTTTCGACTTCATCCGAATGTGACTGATACTACCGTATGAAATCAAAACGTATTCATTAAGAACCATCGAACAGTCACGTCAATCTTACAGGATGTAATAAAAGTTATTTAACAAAAACCATCATATCTTCTCCATGTTCTCATTGAATCAGTTTATATTATCAAATGATTTGTATAATTTTGAAAGTTTTAGTTATATATTGACTAAATATTGACACATTTGAAATCTATTTCTACAATCTTTGATGGCAGCTTTGATTTTTCAAATACTTACATGAGTGGCTTATCATTAATCAAAGAAGATATCTGCTCGGTTTTGTCAAGCACTTTTTGGTATTCATCTTATGTAATATAACTTTCTATTATCGACCGATGACGCTGCTAAGTTCAAACCACTAAAAAGTAGAATAGCTCTCTACAAAATTCACAAACCAGAATTCATTTGAGCTCGTATCTCTACTTGTCATTTAACGTAGAAGATAGTTTCAGGCAATGGTTCAGTGGAAAGTCTCTACAGAATAGAGTTTATTAAACAAACTTCGAATATGCATTGGTTCTTTATGATTCATAATTTATCAGCATACCCTATCGAAAATTAACCATACATACGCGAATCCCTTAGAATTCTTCTTTATAAAAAGATGTGAAAGATTATAGTGAGCACTTTGAGAAGGCAGAAGGGCTAGTATAGATTCAGTCATGGTTGGTAATTAAATCTAAGTTAAATCTTGAGAAAATCAGTAAGTGAAATGAATTTCAATTATACGACGAGCGCTTATAATGCTTCACTGATTTTTCTTTATTTCGCTCTCACTAAATATAAAAGACCTAAAGTTAATACGATACATCCTTTCGAAGTTATTTCTTAGCTAATTGAGAAAAGAGTCTTACACATGAATCTCATGATTTTTTAACTTTCAGTAGAAACTCATATCTCATGAACATAACTTACTTTCATAGATCACTTCCACGCATCGAACTACATGATGAACTATTGCGTTGAGTGATGGATGAAAATGTAATTTAGGAAAGTATTTGAAAAAGAAGACAGTCGCACAATGTGCATGGAATCTAGATATTTGATGATAATTAAATAGAAAATCTTCAATCCAAACATGTAAAATAGCTAGTTGGTTTGTTACAAAATAAATAATCACTCTTGACTTAAACAGAAAATCCTAAAGCTTTTAACTTATTAGTAGTATTAAATCGTAATTTTTGCAGTAGTCATGCAATAGCTTTTTATCTTTTAGATTTTCAGCCTACCTTCAAATGGAGGTTCGAGTAACATCTTGTCTGGTATCTTTTGTTTCAAGTGAATGATATGCAGATCAGGAGCTGGATTCAATTGTGATCGTACTTCCATGTATGTTCCCGGCAACAATAAAATTTCTTCTTCGTTGCGATAAAATGAATGATCTCGGACATTTCTAGCATTAATGGCATCGATAGAGAAAAGAGTTCTTGGACCCTGATAACCCAAATAAAGATCATTTTCTAACACAGGAAGCATTGATGTGCAAGATGAGAAACCCCACCAAATCACTGGAGTTCCTTGTGGAAACTTAAGACTAAGATCTGCTCTTATCCCACGCCACACCGTCTGTTGATCTATACATGGTATTTTGATCACATCAGTAAGGAATAGCTTCAAATATTTGAACCAAGGTCTTAAGTTTTCGTGATCGGCTATTCTAAGTGTTTCATTGAGAATGGAATAGAAACTTCTATGTTCATCATTCCACTCCATTGTGTAAAGACAAATAGCAGCTGATTCATCACGAGTTAGACCATGCTCTGGATCCATTGGAGTATGTTCCAGAGCAATAGAAACATATGCCATTAGATTATGGACAAGAAGAGCTAATGGTATGCATGCTTCTGAAAGTGATAAAAGTGGCTCTTCAGCATAGCCAACGACAGGGTCAACTTTCTTTGAATCTTCAACATCAGGTATTACCAAACGAGAACCCCCACGTCTAACTGGCAACTCAATATCTTTACTCATACTTTTTAATTATCGTTTCCTTGATAAATTATAGTATATATTCTCGGTATTGAATATAATTTTTGCTGGTATCTCTAGTAAGAAAAAACATACATAAAAGTAATGATAAGCAGTAGATAGAAGTTTTCTTTCATATTTCGTTTATAAGGAACATTTTATGAGCAAAAAAATCTTTATATATAGTCAGTACTTATTCTTAATAAATTATGTATTGGAAAGCAGAATAGAAGAAACTATGCACGACAATTTTGCTATTTCTCGGTGTGACAGTGAAGTTTTCAATATAGTAAAGATGAAAAAATTCCTACACTGCCTATCAAGTCCGGTAGAAATGAAAATTGAAGTACAAATGACTCATATGAGTAAAGAAGACAATATGTTTTTCTTTATCTTACTGCAATTTATCGATATATGTAGGTGATAACAATAACATATTCTAGATGAAGAAATATTTTCAACGGATCTCAGTAAATAGTCTCAAAGACTTCTCTGCATTATGAAGTCAAATGTGCTTCAAGCGATACGTAAAACACATAATATTGGTTTAATGTATCTTTGAGAGCCTGGTTTCTACACACTACTTCAACAGCCAACAGGAAATTGTACCTTGTCTTCAATTTTTGATTTCGTTTAGGTTGGAGTTTTAAAATTTTTCAAATTCCGAAGTAGTTTTGATTATCATACAGTTTTTCTTTTTTGGATATTTTAGAACTCATATTTCTCAAGTCATATTTCAATTTCTCTAATAATATGTACTACAATCAAGAAATTTCTGAATTATTGAAATTTAATATACACCATGATCCACTGTATATGATCCACGTTTAGGTACTTGATTAAGAATTAATTTAATATCATACTAATGTACCAACTTTCAAAAATGGATCGAAAGTTTTTTAAATCTATTGTAGTTAAATGGAGACTGCTAAACATTGAATGAATGGGATGATTACAACTACACAGCAAAAAAAGTCGAAAATTCTCTGATTGCATATGAATAACGTAAAGAACTGCTACTTATAGATAATAAATACTAGACAATGTAACGATGATAGTCAATTATCTTTTAAGAAATAGTGTCTATGTCGGAATTTTCTTCGATTCATGAAAAAGCTAAGCCGAAAGCATTTTGACAAAAGAAGACGATAGGTAAAAAAACCTGATTCTTATATTTTTTTAAATAACCTTTCTAGTTTTCTTATTTGAGTTTATTTACACAGTCTTCCTTCGAGAAATTCATTGGAGGAATATTGGTTTTGAAATTTTAAAATAGATATCTCGGGCTTCAAAACGATTCAAGGGCTCTATTCTATTGCGCTCTTTTGATTTTCATCTCGAGTAATGACGAAGTTCTCGATATGGAACGAAAAAAAAACTAATTTTAATAGTAGTTCATGAGAAGAACTAGCATCGAGAATTAAAGCTTCCATACAATTCTCAATGATTATCTTGTATCTATAGGAGGTTCATAAATTACACAAATTCGTTTTCAATTATTATAAAAGCAGTTATTCAAGCAGAACATTTCATCCTTATCTTAAACCTCATAGACAAGTAAATCAACGTTCGATAAATCTCAATTACACTTTTTTTTCTGCTGAATATAGTTTATGATATAATTTAACTTAATGAACATAACAATAAAAAACAACCATGTGTTCTTGCAGGGCTTACATAGGTTCAAACGTTCACATTCGGTTTAAAACAGAACATTTTTGAAATTCAAAAAACAACAAAGAAACGCGATGGACTTTTTCTATGCAACTTTAATGGCCGGTCAGAACTAACTTTTTTTATCGTAAAATCTGAATAAAAATACACAGATTCTTGCTCGATTCGTTATGCTGCATATGTAAGTATATGACTGAATTTTAAAACCTATAGACCGTCCAATGTTCCTATTTGAAAAAGGTCTGTAAAAGCTTGCATACAATAATGAACAATTCGGAAACTTTTCCTAGTCAATGGCGGATTCTTATTTGAAATCGACAGATTCTTGTCTCTAGAATCAAATCGATCTAAAATCCCTAGCTGTTTAGATGATTTCTATCATTGAAAACTTGCTACATAGATATTTTTGTACTACTGGTCTGAAGTAATATATCTATCTCTAAAAACATAAGCATGGAGTAGGGTGGGGTGTGAGTGTAGGTGATTCCAAGGGCTTTGTATCAACTAATGTCAAATAGTGTTCCGATTGACTCGTAGTTTTACAAAAGAATAATTTATTTCGAGTTCTATGAAGTTTGTTTTGACCAAATATGTAATTTAGTGTGCACATTCTGAAAAATATTTTTCAGCTTGAAACTAGAAATTAAATAACACTATGAAATATTTAAAACTGCTTCAGTGAGTTTGCTTGTCAGTCTTACTCAGACTTTCATTTCCATTAGGGATAAATGGGAAAATAAAATTTATCAAAATAGCTATTTAAATATTTACATGCCGTGGGTTATATCTCAGCACGATATTTTTCAATTTCGAAACTATGTTTTCAGAACCTCTTATCTTTTTTATGCATCGTCAAGGGAAATGACAAGTAGAATTTGCGTCCAAAAGGACCGAGTTCTGCAAATCCTGTCAAATATGTTCGAGTCAACCTAGTTTTCCTTACGACTTTCGATTATTAGATTCGTATGAGGTCAAACGAAGTTTGTTTGGTTCGGAAATTATGGAATACTAGTGAAAAAAGATGTAAATTGACTATCACAAGAAATTATTAGAGAAAAGAAACTTCATTAGACATCGATTTTCAAGCTGAAAATGAATTCATGAGAAGAAGGGCATAGAATTATACATTTGAATAAAAAAAATTTTGCTATCACATTAGAGCGAACTAGAATTTTTTGAAGCTTAAAAGATTATTCTTCGAAATAGTTCAACTCAATTAGGTCATCTTTTGGTACTGACAGACAGATAATATCTTGAATATGTAAGGCATTCTGATAATTTCGGATAAAGAAAATCCTAGTAAATCATTGGATCTTGTTTTCAAAAAATTTAATTCCTGTTTTCATCGGTTTTAGATGAAAAACTAATTTTGTAGACATTCAGATGGTACTTCAGATATTTCTTATTGTCTAAGTACTTTGAAAAAAGTTTCTGATAGCCTGAGAAAGATCCTAGGTATCCAAAGATTGAAATATGAAAAAATACAAAATAAGCTACAGTGAAATAGGGAGAACTTATTCTATTGTATTATCTCTCATAGAAGTATCCTCTATTTCTTTGTTTCACCATTAATTTCGTTCAAGATAAACGATCCATTTATCTTTACTCCTAATTACAAAGGACAGCAGACATTAAGTGTTATCCTTTCGTTGATCGAGTGTTACCTCC